TGCACGCAGCGTGCGCATGCGTATTAGCGTCTGTGCGATGCTCCAGCTGCTCCTGGAGGATCACGCAGGAGCTGTATGCGTTCTGCGCATGCGTGGAAAGCGCAAAATTCGAAAAAACCGGGTAAGGAGCGGGCGCGGGTGCGCGCGGGCGCGGGGGGGGGGGGCTTCGCCGTTCCCGGAAGTTACTTACTTCCGGGTTCGGCAACCAACCGGATCGCAGGGACCGGTGCGAACCGGTCGAAACCCACCCCTGGTCCTACAAAACCATGCTGCAATCCGCCAAGCTTGCTAAGTAACTTTTTTCGGAGCATGGATTGGAAGAAACTTACAACACAAATATACAGGAGTTGGCCAACACTGAGCCTCAGGGTTGAGCAACTGTGGTCTAGACAACAGTTTTCCTGAGGTTTCACTAGCAATTATGGCTGACATTTTCTTAAGAAATCTGTTGTCTAGACCAGGGTCACTTTACTTTGAAGGTCAAGACTTCCTTACAACACAAAGCTTGTTAAGTAAAACACATTTTCTCTCAGCTAACTAAGTAACTGAATGACTGGCTGAAAATAACTTGGATACCTTACATCTGCACAGGGTTAAAGTGATTCACAGCACTATCTCCTTGTCATGATGTTCCATGATGTCATTATATACATTACAGTATCCATAAACTACCGTATGGATTACAGACTGTACTAGTGTGGTATGCGCAACATGATAAACCCAAATCAAACTGTATTACAGTTTTAACATTTTGTTAAGTTAGACAATTATCGACAGTTAAAGAAATCAACACATTTCACATACCCTATAAATAGGAGTTCTTTCTACATCAATTTACATGAGAATCTACAACTGCTTTATTTTATTTTATAAAATATGCATACATCTAATATTCTTTGGACTGGAGTGGCATAGAAGCCTGAATAAATAATATTCTGGGTGCACAGGGCCGAGAACATTGAGATTTGTGGCACTGTCTTTCAGGAACGTTTTCCTCCTTTACTAATTTTTCAACAGAAAAAGCACGGATATCTTCCAAGGAAGTGCAAGATTTCTAACACAGTTCAAAAATTAGTGTGCAAATCAATAACTAGAAGCACAGCAAAAGATGTGCATGTCTGCAGTCCATGGTAAAATATTATAATTTGTTTCATTTAGGAACCGACAGTGCATTTCTCATAGCTTCACGCACCACTGCTCATCTCTGGCATTAGTTCATAACATGTTTTCCAAGCCGTACACTTC